GGGAAGCTCTTGCTATAAAGTAGGTGTACTCTTTCCTTCAATAGTCTTTCTGGGATATCTCATAAGTAGTTTCTCTTACTTTGCTAGTCCCTTCAAGACTTGTGCTTTCTCCATCACAATGGTCTTGAGCTCCTCTAGGTATTGCTCTAATAAGATATAGTCCTTTGGCATTACTTCTCTTCTAATGCTTTCCATTGTTTCGGGAACGTCTCAAACAGTTACTTAGTTTGACATGTTCTTCCTCTCGAACTAACGGTTGGCTCTTTAAGGGATTTTAAGTGGTCATTGAGATGTTCTTCTACTTATCAAGTTGGGACTGAAATGTTTGCAAAGGTGAGGGTCGGCGTGATGTATGAAGCATGGCATGTATGTCATGCAATATTTCATTTTGGATTCTAAAAAACATATTAAGTCCTCCCAACATGATTCATCCTACATATGTTTCAATCTTATGGTTATTCCTTAGAATTTTGCAAGGGTACCAATTGCGGGTTACCCAAATAGATATTTTGATTTATAAATGCAAAAATATATTGTAAATGAGCCTTTAGCAGTAAAGCCACTTATTTTTGTGACTTGAGCATACCACTTTGCTTGCATACACCCAAAAAAGTGGAAGCAGTGATAGTGCATCATGTACAACTAGGGATTACAATGGAATGAGTTCGAAGTGGATATGAATAAATCCGAATCCTCTCTGAGTTTTGATATAGAAAACCCTAATCCTCCTAAATCTGGGACTCTGTTTATTTTTCTATTGAGATTACAACATCTTAGATTCCTTTTGGAAATCCATTCCACATTCCAACAGAGGGTTCATAAGTCTTCCTTAGTTACATAACACTCATCCAATCACACTGATTAAGGCAAACATAAGTCCAAATAGATACATTCTTTACAGGTAGGAATAATAGAGAGTGATGAGACCACTTGGGAGAGAAGAATTATAACCATAGCACCACAAAGACTAAAATAGTAACTTTCCGAAGATTAAATATGGAAAATCAACTCTGGTAAGGATCAAATTCATGGAAGTTTTTATCTTCAGCTTCAGATTAATCATATGTTAAAGAATCAAATCTGATTGTAGTTATCTTACTGCAGTTGTCAAGCAGTCATTTACACAAACAGATATAGACATGAATAGTTTCAACGGAAAGGAAAACTAACTGGGTATCATAATGATATACAGCTTATCAACCAATTACCTGCTAGTCCTAAAACTACCATCCCTAATACAACAAAACCTAATAACTATTCATCAAACTCCGAGTCCTCTTCACTTTCCTGATCTTCACCACTTTCCTGTAATAAAATGTTTGTCGAAGATCATATACATTTCATACAAAATATTGCAACTATGACACAAACTAGCATGAAAACTAAAAGTTACCTTAGGCATAGGCATAATTCTCGAATTAATGTTTGAAGTATAAAATAAAAACTCATTTAATCAAATATCACAAACCAAACCAAACCATAAGACTTATAACACAATTCATCAATAAAATTTTACTAGCATTAATACGTAATTTTTAAAGAATGATTATAAAAAATTAAAATATTTTCAGAACTTTATACTAATATTATAAACAATTAAGGAATACTTAATTTCAAAATACTGTATCTTATAATTCAAATAAAAATAAATGATCTCAAAATTTCGATAATATTTAGTTAAAACACTATTAAAGTGAATCGCAAAAAATGAATTGAACACCATGCCACCTACTACGAATTTTTCAATTCACTAAATTCATGATAAATTTCTGGTTCACCCATAAAATTCAAATCATTTTATTATTGAATTAACCGAACCATAATATTTGAATAATAAATTGTAAGATTCTAACATCAAAGAGCTTATATATACAAAAGAAAGAGCTAAAGCCTCATGTGGTTTCAATTCTTAGTTCCTAATCTTGGTTTGCAATTAGTCTTACTACGTTAAATAACAAGTTCTATTGTTGAGCTTAACGCACCCCCAAAGAATTCAAGGTGAGGATGGAAGTTTTTTAAATATTAAAATTGTGTTTTTCTTGTACATCATCAAGACTGATATGAACATTATCGAATAAAAATCACTTGTAGAAAGAAAATTAGAACCAGAAAAGTCATAGTAAAATTCACCTGTCGCTTGATATATTCTGCCATGGCCTTGTCAAACTCTGCCCTTTTCTCAGTAGCTATATCATAATACTGAACTTTCTCCTACCACAAGGCAAAAGCAAATGGGAAAAAGAATCAATAAGTAGGTTATGAACTCCAAAAAAAATATTTCTCACTCTATGTATTAAGAAATTTTCTCTATTACTGTGTATAAATTTGAGAAAAAGCAAAGTTTTAACAAAATGAATGGTGTGTTTTCCTCCTTTTTTCTGTTTTATTTATTTTCATTTACCCAACGAGAATGTCCCTAGTGCTTAGCCTCCCAATGATATGGTTAAACCTAGATAATCTGCCTCAGAATATAATTTCTTAGTAGTCAGGCTGAAGCTTTGATTACATCATACATTCCCAAAATATAGCTGCTGGAAATTCTCTGAATTGTTTTGTTCTCTTGAAAGAAATTATGATAATATTTTTTATTAGAAAAAGCTTTTTTTTTTTGTAAAAAAAAGCTTCTTTTGGAATGTTTAAGGTTCCTTTTTTAGAAGAAAGAATATCATTTATTCACAAGCATCAAGGGAGCACGACCGGTATACAATTTTTACATGTCAAATAAAATATCCATAAGATCCTCAAGAACCTCACAAGAATAAAGAGGATGACTCTTAATAGAAAAGACCTAGGAGTTGAAACTGTGTCTTTGAATTTATCAAAATTAGACTCAATACCTTCAAAAACTCTCCTACTTTAATTTCACATAACTTAGGACGAACCCAAAGGAAAGACTTGAAGAAATTTTATCGCTATGGGCTCCCTTTCCACCCCCTAATCTCATTCCTCAATGAACCAGCCATAATCCAGTTGATACCCAACAGACTGTAAGTTAAAGGTACAAAAATGGTAAGCAAATGGATACCACAACAGAATATGAATGCACGAATCTGCATCACTCTTGTGCAGGTAGCAGCTGTTCACCAATATTCTTCCCCTCCTAATCCACTTATCCAATGTTAAGACACAGTCTCTAGCAGTGTCCCAAGCAAAAAAAAACCCATTTTAGGCGGCGCTTTTACCTTCCAGATCAGCCTTGATGGCAGCTCCTCTTAGGCAGATGCAGTTAAGAAGTCTTACCAGGGAAAAACCCCTTAGAATTAAGCCTCCAAATAGGACAATTCTCAGCCCCATTTGGAGTACATTTGAAGTGCTTTTAAGGTTATTTAAGAAAGTAACCGGAGTATCTTTACTATTTTAGATTGATAGAAGCTCTCATGGAATGCAAATTGTGTTGTCTACTTAAGGTTTTATAATGAAGTTTTATTTTAAAAAAAGATTTTATAATGAAGCAAAAAGTTAGTTTTTGCACCAACTTTTCCTTCTCCTCTTCTTTGTTTTCCGTTTATACCACCAAGTGGTATTAGTGCTCATAAACTCTTTTAAGTGACCAAGAAAGAGGAAGGTTTTCTGCTGCAAAACCAACTTACCAGAATCATAACATGCTAAACATGGCCTCAGGCAATATAGAAGTGTTTCTCCCCTTGTTTTCAATGGAAAAAATAATTAGCTACGGGCTGTAAGAATGAAAGCTCTTTTAAAAGGGATAGACCTACAAGAAATTCTAGAAGTTGGAGAGTATCATCTTCCCATAACACAAATAAAGCACCATGCAGAGAAAATGGCAAAAAAGTACAAGACCATTTCCTTTCTTCACTAGCCTATATCCGATACAATCTTTGTGAGGATCACGTCGTGTGGAACTGGTTAAAAGACCAAACAAATACAAATAGTCAACTTAAAGAGAGTTTCAAGTCCTTAAGATAAGTGATAGGTATCAATAAGTTCATGGACAGGGTGAAAAAGGTGAAAACCAAGAGATAATGCTCGGGAAGAGCTAACAGATAAAACAGTAATGGATAAGGTGCTAGTAAATCTCCCAGAGGCTTAAAATCAAAATCTCCTCTTTTGAAGTGTCAAAAGATTTTTCCAGAATAACTTTGACAGAACTAGTAAATATTGTGCAAGCAACCAAGCAATAGAGGTCTTTGAGGATAAATAAGCTTGCGAAAGGAGCTTTTTTGGTGAAAAACAAAGGCAAGACTCAAGGCAATACTACTAGAAGCAGAGCAAGAGGAAAGAAAGAGAAACAAAAGAGAAATAATCAAAAGGAAAGAGAATAGAAAAGAAAAAGTTCCCAACATGTCCAAAATGCAGAAAAACCAATCACTTCAAAAAAAAAATGTAGTTGGTTTAGGCCTGAAATTCAGTGCAGGTCTTGGAAAGGCTTTGGACATGTGGAAAAAGTTTGCAAGGCAAAGATGTAAGCAGAACAAAAGGCACAAGTGACTGAAGATCAAGAATAGCAGGCACAGATCCTCTTTTTGCGGCCACCTGCTACTCAACCAGCACCAATACTGATCCTGGTTGATTGATAGTAGGTATAGCCATCACATGTTCCCTGATCAAAATCTGTTTGAAAGTCTTGACATATCTTGTTCCTCCAAAGACAAGATTTGTAGAAAACATGCATGCAATCAAGGAAAACACTTGTGTTGTAAGGTGTGTGGCTCAACATGTCTGCAATCGTGGAAAACACTAGTGTGTGAGAAGTATGTGAGCTTGGAAACAAGGCAAGCTTGGTTTTCAACAGAACCAAGTGTAAGAGCCACAGAGAATTAGCAGCTTGTCCAAACTGACCTGGGTGGCCCCATAGAATTGGTCCTTTAAGTGGAAATTAAATACATTTTTTATCTTCATACACAACTTTACAAGATATTGTTGCGTGTATTTGCTGAATAAAAAATAAGTCATGTTTTATATATTCAAGAGTTTCAGAGCCGGCTGGAAAATCAAAGTGGGAAGAGGATACAAACCTCGATATCAGATCATGGGAAATAATACACAAATAAGAAAATCAACAAGTTGTGTAAAGATGATAGAATATACCAGATAGGATAAGTGAAAGGAAAAACAGAACCATAATAGAAATAGCAAGGTGTCTCTTGTTCAAAAAATCTTTTGGAGAAAAGCATTTAACATGGCTGTGTATGTCTATTAATAGGCTACCAACAAAAGCCTTGGAAGATAAAACACCTTATGAGACTTGGTAAAACACAAAACCAATTGTGGAGCACTTGGAAGTTTTTAGACCTCTACTTTGTTCATGTTGCTGACATCAAGACAGAAATTGAAAGAAAATACTCAAATTGGAATTCTAATGGGAGGTAAAAGTACTGCCCAAGATTTATACGGTGTATAACCTTCAATCTGAGAAGGTAATGATGGCAAGAATGTGAATACTGATGGAGAAGCACACTGGAATTTTTTTGAAAGAAAAAAAAAATTGAAATATTTTTTCGAAGAAAAAATATATAATAGCATAAAGAAGCACTAAGGTGCAACCATATACAAAGATATTTACATTTATGTCAAAATATCAATTAACTCCCATAAACCCTCATTAGAATAAAGAGGATGACCCTTTATAAAAAAAAAACCAAGGGTTTTGAACCAAGTATCCTTAGTTCTACCAAAGAACAATACAATACCTCAAAAGTTCTCATATTTCTCTCCTTTTAAGGTTTGATTATTTCACAGTCACAAAACATAGTTGCTGTCATTCTCTCAGTGATATGATCATATTCTCTTAAAAGAAATTACAGTCTCTCTATAGACTCTAATTTAATCCTAATCCAATTTTTACTAGAAACTGTAATAAAAGAAAAACATAAATAAAATCTTAAAGATTATACAATTATAGTAACATAAGAAATTAAATTACTTTTCTATTTGACTAGCTGTTCCATTAGTTTACAGTAGGACATGAAAAAATTGGATATCGTATACAAGAAAAAACAATATTAAAAAAAAAAAGGACAGAAGCGAAAAGTTGCCACTAAATTCTACCAAATTTATAATGAAAATCATTAAAAGAACTAAACTGGGAAGTAATAAAAATTGTACCTCATAGGTCATTGTTTTCCATTTCTCCCCACATGCCTTGCCAATCTACAAAAAAAAAAAAAAAGGGTCAAAGTCAGTTTTATTTGTGTGTGTTAAATACAAAAGTGTAACATGACTACGCTCAGCGAAGTCTGTTCTAAAATAAATAAGACCATCCAATACATACATCACGCATTGACTTGATATCTGGATTCTGCTCTTGAAATTCTTTACGAAAGTCCTCCCTTCAATCAGAAACATCAGTTAGAATAATGAGACTATTCAAGGCTCCTTTATAGAAGAAGATGAGATATTAGTAAGAGAGACCATAATACAAAAATAAGATAAATTAGATATCCATCCAAAAGAAAAAGAAAAGAAAGAAAAATGTGAAGAACCAACAATACTTATGCAAAAATAAGTAGCCAATTACTATATAACACAGATAAAGAAATACCCTTAAAGTGCCCATAACCCTTATAAGATAGTTTATCCCAAAGCATCCAAGAAGAAGAAATCTTTCCAAACACATCATTAATAGCCTAGCAAAAACATTCCATCACCAGAGAGCTCTTATCTCCTTTATACACAAGGGCCGAAGAGCAGATAAAGAAAACTATTGCTCGTAAAAAGACCCAAGAAAAACTGTTATGGCTCACCAGGAGCTTAAATCATATTTAGAAGTTCAAGTCTACAAGAGTTTTCATATGAAAACTATAGGAAGATTAATTTAGTCAATTTACTAAGCATTTTAGTTTTTATTGTTTGCCAGGCATATTAACTACTAAGTTTTATACCTTTTTTATTTACCAAGTATCTTAAGCTAGTTAGCAGTTATAGACAAGTCAGTTTATTACAGTTCTGTTGTGATCCCATACGATACTTAATGGTGAAAGCTACTTCCTTAAGGAAGCAATCATCTTGCATTTTCTATGCCTTAAAAGGGCTATTCTTATTAGGATAAAATACACGGAGTATTATGTTAGTTTCTCTGATACTCTAACTTCAGTATGAAAAGAGGAGGGCATGGGACCTATGAAGCAGCAAAAAGAAGAAGTCTAAGTCTGCAGTTGGGCAAGAAGTTGGCTTCTTTAGGAAATTAATAAGAGTTAGAATTCTTTAATAATTTCTATTAAGTAATCAGATTTAGATTAGATTAGGGAACCAGAAAAAAAAAAAAAGACTATGACTCCTAAAATTATAATAGGGATCTAATTCAATTAGCTTCTTTATAAGTACGAAAATTATAATGAATAAAAGCATCAGGTATTAATCTAAAGAGTTTTTCTCCAAAAGATCAGAAGTTCTCTTCGACGAGCCTCAACCTAGGCCGACAAGGCCAGAAAACTGGGAAGCAAGCAGCATTATTGCTTCAGGACTTCAAGTTAGAAGGCCCTGTGACCAGATCTAGAGATGTGAGAAATAACCCATATTTGCAAACCATCGAAACAATCAAAATTTACAAACGCATATCAAGATTTTTTTTTTTCAAATTTCTCAAATCAAAATTTTACATAGTAGATTTAAATCAAGCTTCCCCAAGTTCCTTTCAAGCTTCTCAACTCATTTTGGTCAAAATTCTTCTATTTTTTCAAGATTTCATATGTTCTTTCAGAGGAGTATTATATCATGTGTCATCTTGAGGAAAAAATCGGATTTGTGTTTTAACGTGATCTTAACATGTGTTAGTTTATTGCACTGAGTTGTAATGTTTGTTCAAAGCACAAAGACTGAGTTCTAATTTTTTTTTTTCAATAAATGAACCTAGTAGTTATTAAATCCAAACTCCAGGGATTCAAAACTTACCCAAATTTATATATCTATCATCACTCTCACACTCCTATCCAATCTGCCAGTTCTCTACCCTTCTCTTATGCAAACCCACTCCGTCCAATCAATAACTCAAACCAAACAACTAGGAAGCAAAGAGACCAAAAAGTCAATTCAGAAGCATATGTGAGATGTTTCCTTCATAAGTGAGGACTACAAGCAGCAATTGTGCCAGTCTTGCAGAGATTTTAAACAAATAGCACTTAACACAAATGTTAACTTAAATATCATTTGAAACTCTTAGCAACCTCAATTATCTCATTGTTGAGCACAAACACCACAAGCACCCTTCAATAGGAAAGCCCATAGAAGAACCAAAAGATCAATAGTTAGCCCATTTTGGAGAACAATAACTTCTGACTCCCCTCGAAGGAGAAAAGGATTAATTCTTTCAAAAACCAAGGAAAAAAAAAATTGAGATCTGGTGTTCAGGAGAAATAAGAAATTGAGACTCATTCCACTCACTATTTTCTGGGTTATCTGGAAAGAGAAAAACAATAGAGCTTTTGAAGGAAAGGAACAAATATTTGGCAACATTGTGAGCAAATGGCTACACTTTTTTGGTTCCACTGTATTGGAACATAATATTAACCATTTGAAGATTTAGGGTCAAGTGTAAATATTCTTATTGACTTGTAAATCTTTTGTACATGGGCAGTGCCCCCTTGATGTCTCATATTAATATATTTTCTACACTTTTCTTTCAAAAAGAAAAACCAAGGAAAAAAGTTCAAGAAGAGCAATTAACATCCAGCTCCTAAGTCAATGCATAGACGTCGAAAACATGCACAGTATAGTTCAAATATGTACACCAACAGTAATGCACTCCAATACAACTAAGCAATAAAAGATCAAGATTACGCATATAGAAAACACATACAGGAAGTAGAAGAAAGCAGTTGGCGGTTTCTTGGGCTTCTTCTTGTCAAATTTCTTGTGTATCTTTTTCTGCTTTGCTTTGGAGATCATTGCGGACTTGGGTCTATACTCTTTCTTTCTCTGGCCTGTAACTCCACCCTGTCGTACAGACCTCCTAAGGTTTTCATTTGACTTTATTTTGAGCACCAATTTCCTACAGATTTCAAAGTAATACCTTATGATTACTAAGCAAAACCCTTTTCCTCAAAAGAAAATCATCCCAAACATCGAGAGGGAAAAGAAAATAAACTATAATTTTTTTTATATTGTTCTTCATACTAAGAATACCAAGAAATCCAAAACCGTTAACCTTACCTAGCCCTCCAACTAGTTTTGGTTGGATAGCAGCAATGACTTAACCATTTTTTATCACCAAAAAAGAAATCCTGTCATTTTAAGGCCGACCCAAACCAAAACAAGATACCCTAATCATGCGTCTTCTAACTAATTATCATACATCCCCTCTCCTTGACAAGCCCAATAAAGAAAAGTTACCCCCTTGATTTTACTAAAGCCTAAAAGCAGCCTCAAAATTTGGAAAAGCTTTTCTCCTTGACTTCCCCTTGTTGATCTCATTTTTAAAGATGGGTTTTCAGCTAAGCGTATTTCAGAACCAAACAAACAAAAGATAATCTTCTGTTTTCTGGGTTTTCCCAGTAACCAAACAGATGAAAACAAGATAGAGCCAAAAAAAAAAAAAAAAAGAAGAAGATGATGATTTAGAGGAACACCAAAAGAAAAAAAGGAAATGCATAAACATGAATATCATGAACATGGGTACAAGCATCTCTTTCCGTCTGCGGAGTGTAGTAAAACAAAGAGGAGAAAGGAAGTATTACGTGTTGGGTTCGTGAGCAGAGGCGGAGGAAGATGGAGAAGACCGTGAATTTTTAGGCTTTGGAGGGCCTTTCGCCATTTTCTGTCAAGAGCTTCGCCTCGTGTTGGCTCCCACGCAGCAGCGGCCTGGATTTGACACACTACCAAGACCACGAAACAATTCATTATTATATTTTTTGAAAACAGTCCACAAATTTCTACTTTTTTAGGTAAAGAGTCCAGAATTTTCATTTTCTTAAGAAACATAACCCAACAAAAGGGATAATTATATTTAAAGATAGAGAATTTAAGAATTTTAAGGACACACTACGTAAATAATTTAAAAAATAAATAAATAAATTGTAATTTTAATTTTATTATTTAAAAAAAAAAAATTGTATTCGAGAGTAAAATTTAGAAGTACAGAAAGAGTCGGTGGTGAGTTGGTCGGCAGGTGAGCTTCCTCCGTCGAGCTTGCTTAACTGATCTCCCCACTGTGATACCAATTCATTTCCTGGTTTTCTTTTCTTTTGGTTTTTTTTTTTTTTTTTTTCTCAAATCAACAACCCTCTGCCCTCAACGTAAAAAACGCTTGCTCACCACATTGTTATCATCGCCTCGTCTCTCTCTCTCTCTCTCTCTCTCTCTCTCTCTCGCTCTCTCTCGCTCTCTCTCTCTTTGTTTTTCTGTTTCTCCCAGCTTCTTCATCATGCAAGCGCTTCAATCTCCATCTCTCCGCGCATCTCCTCTCAAACCTCTTCACAAAAAAACCAAGAAACCAATCCCACATTTTACCAATGCCAAACCCGCTAAGAAATCGCTGGTCATCGCCGCATCGTCCGCCGTTTCCGCCCCAAAACGCGAAAAAGATCCTAAAAAACGGGTTGTAATCACGGGTCTGGGTCTTGTGTCCGTCTTCGGCAATGATGTGGATGCGTACTACGAAAAATTGCTGGCCGGAGAGAGTGGGATTGGCCTAATTGACAGGTTCGATGCCTCCAAATTCCCGACTCGATTCGGGGGCCAGATCCGTGGGTTTACCTCAGAAGGGTACATTGATGGGAAGAACGATAGGCGGCTCGATGATTGCTTGAGGTACTGCATTGTCGCAGGCAAGAAGGCCCTGGAGGATGCGGATCTCGGGGGAGATAAGCTTGGCAAGGTTCGTCTTATCTGTTCGGTTTATACTGCAGTTTTCATCGCTGATTGCAATTAGCTTGATTTGGTTTTGGGTTTTTGTTGGGATGATTTTAATCGATTTAATTTAGGTTTTCTGGAGGAAATGCTAAATGGCTTGTGATGTTTCACTTGTTTAATGGGTGCGTCCCAGGAAGCAGGTGAAGTTAAAATGAAGATGGCAATTTTATATTTTGTGTTTCTAAGTAGATTGACTAAATAAGAATTTGATGGGTTCATTTTATGTTTCCATATTACTTTTTGAAGACGATCTATTTTTATATCTTTATGTATTCATAATCTGCTACTACTTTCATAAACCAAATCAATCCTCTGTTTTTTCTGCTCTTATTTTTAACTTTCATAGGAAAAATGTCTTCTTGGAGAACATGGGTTTACTTTCTGCAGCAATTTTGTGTAGGAAAATCCCTCCTAGTGTTTTATGATTGAAAATTCTAATTGAAGTGCATAACGTTTCCGTTCTTAGCATTTTTGATTTCTCATGTTAAATTTACATGACACGGGCGTAGAAGATGAATAAGGATGAGTACATGTAATGTCTGGAATGTTTTACAATTATAAGTTTGTATACTTCCTTTTCTAGAAAGTTGAATGATTTTTTTTAAATATGATATATATTCAAAGATTATGTTTCAAATATTTAGTATTTAATTGCTGAAGAAGTAATGTCAATCCATAAGAAGTTGTGCATCCTGGAAGTCTTGTACAGGATGTATTTCTGTTCTTTTAATATTCTCTATTGATGATCTCAATGCCTCATTATGCTTTATGCATAAACTTCTTCTACAGACACGGGGGCAAGACTTATTGAGGGGCAGAATTTATTATTCAAAAAGACACTTGATCTAAGGAGCATTAATTCAATTAAAATGGTACCACTCAAAGATGTTTCCCAGTCATATTTTCATCAGTAATTTAAAATTTACTACAAATTTTGAAGAAAAAGTTAGGTGGTCAAATCTCAAACTTGTTCCAGTTTCATCTGCTTTTCGTAGTTATAGATGATACAATCTAAAAGCCTTCACACAAAGAAGTGGACAAAGTTTGTCTTAAAAATGAAAAGGTTAGGACTGTTAACATCTTCTGTTTAGTGTATATGCCGTTTGTTTTTGTCTAGTTCATGATGATTTTTAGATGGTTTTCTACATTGCCACTAAGCTTCCTGGTTATGATATTTGCTGTTGCTGGTCAGCTCATGTTGACTGTCCTTGACTTTACAATATGTGGGAGTTTCTCGGGCTTTGTTCTTGGGTAGGAAATGGTTCTGGGAACCTTTATTCCCTGGGATCACTAATGGCTGGGGGAGGTCCTTTAGGGCATTGATTCCAAATGAATGTTTATCGGCAAGTTGTCCTGTCAATATTTTATTGGCTTTTTGTTGGTCTTGTTAGTCAATGATTCAACCGCGCCATTAAACTCTTTAGGTATGCATTTTCATTTATGTTTTGACTACACAATATTAATATTCTGCCTTAAAATTCTTTCATTAAGGTTGAGTTTGGTTCAAATTTTAGCGTGGAATAGGAATGAGAATGGATATAAATGAGAACAGTATTATAATTCTTAGTCAATTCAATATTTAATTCAAGTTAAGTGTTTTTCTGATTCCCTCTTCGACAAGTGCAATATGAATCTATCATTGTGGAATGGAAGATAAGAGTGGAGTTGGTTTAACTATCATCAAACCTGTAAGTTATGACTAAATTCTATATGTCAACTAAGTAAAATTGAGAAATAGAACTGGAATAGAATTCAACTACTTAAAATTTGGGAATAGAACTAGAATAAATGAAGGTGAACCAAATGCAGTTTAAATGACATAAGAAGGGACCGGAAATCTGGTAGCCTACATTTGTTTCTTTGCGTAGTGTTATTATTTGCTGATCATTAGATGGGGAACGAGAAACAGGGATCGATGTCCAATGTGCATGTTTCAGCTCATTGGAAATTTTAGTGTCCTCAAGGCTGCAAATCTTTCTATCTGATTTTCTTTAAGTGAAACTGGCATCTTTTTGTATTCTCCTCTGGCAAGTATTGGCCTTTGTTTTAAAATATATATATGATATATCCTATCCTACTTAAGGCACTTCCATTTTTGCTTTTCTCTAAGTTTTGGCAGAATTAATATATGAAATGCATGTTTAATTTATTGTGATCAGTCTTTCTTTGGAATAGTTTACTATCTGTTCATCATAGGTTGCATTTATCAAAAGGCATTGTAGCATGCCTTAAAAGGTTCTATTGTCTAGGGTTGAAATTGGTTAAACAGATGCCTTCATTTTGAGTTATATACATGGTCTGCTAGAGCTAGATTCCTTTCAAAAAGAACTTGCTTGACTAGATGATCCAATTCCCTGCAGATTGACAAGGAGCGGGCTGGAGTGCTGGTTGGAACTGGAATGGGTGGTCTCACAGTGTTTTCAGATGGTGTTCAGGCTCTAATAGAGAAAGGCCATAGAAGAATAACCCCGTTCTTCATTCCTTATGCTATAACAAACATGGGTTCTGCTTTGCTTGCCATTGATCTTGGTTTTATGGGTCCAAATTATTCAATTTCAACTGCTTGTGCCACGTCAAATTATTGCTTTTATGCTGCTGCCAATCACATCCGTCGAGGTGAGGCAGATTTGATGATTGCTGGTGGAACTGAAGCTGCCATCATTCCCATCGGGCTGGGGGGCTTTGTTGCGTGCAGGGCCTTATCTCAAAGAAATGAGGATCCACAAACTGCTTCAAGGCCATGGGACAGAGATCGAGATGGCTTTGTAATGGGTGAAGGTGCTGGTGTTCTGGTAAGCTCTGTTCTTATGCCAAGGATGAATTACGTGCGTGATATTTGTTCTTTGTTTTTCTTTTTGGCTAGGGTGTGAATAGTGGGGTTGGCATGATGATTTATTTCCTCACAACTTGAGGATGTTGCTACAGCTTTAAGATTGGCATATGGAAATAGACATAAACTTCTGAGTGCTGATGTGCTGCTTGGTTCAACTGTTGTATTCCTAGAGCATGATTTGGAGATAGATGCTATCCTGATATACTTGTTGATGCATTTCCTAATACATCCTCTAAATTCCTGTTTTCTTCATATACTTAATTTATTAGATGTGCCTGCTGCAGACCGTGGACTGTCAGTTGAATTGAGAAGCTTTCTGCTGAGCTTTATTATTTTCATGGTAGGTAATGGAGAGTTTGGAACATGCAATGAAACGAGGTGCACCAATTATTGCCGAGTACCTAGGTGGTGCTGTTAATTGTGATGCTTATCACATGACTGATCCAAGAGCTGATGGACTTGGGGTGTCTTCATGCATTGAGAGAAGCCTTGAGGAAGCTGGTGTATCACCAGAGGAGGTGATTTGCTTTGTTCTCTAACTAATATTCTTTTCTAGTTCTTTATGTGGTGTCACTTAGGCTATTTGGTACTGTTCTGCCATCCTGTTTGTTTTGACATTTTACTTGATTCTTTTTCCAATTGTATATATTTTTTTTCCATCTGCTCATATACCTGTACATGATTTTTTTGCATCTATAAATTGAGTCCAACCAGATAGATTCTTTCTAATTTTGTTTGTTTTATTCATGTCCACCGATAGAACAACTATGCTGCACTATGTAGTCAAAACACAGAAATTTAGTTAAAACTCTTATAATTTGCAAGGCTTCAACTGGATTCTTGTTATGGTTTACCCATAAATTACAATTTCAAATGATACCTATGAGAGTAAAGAGGAAGAGATCAAATTGTTATTAGTCAAAGTTGCTTAGAATATTTTTACTTTGTGTTTCTTGCAAATTATCAGCATCTATTTATGACAAGTGAATTGAGCTTATTTGCTTTTGTTCTGGTTGTGTGGTTGGCAAAGCTAATAATTGAAAATATTTTATGTTTTCCTCCAATTTTCAGAAAAAGAAAAGTATTGTTTCATTTCTTAATCTAATTTTTGGCAATTGGATGAACAAAAAATGATTGATCTCTTACAGATCACAATTTCAGCGCTACATCCAACAATTTGAAATGCAAAGATTTCTGTAATTTGCTTAGCATGGCTATGGCTAAGAATATTGGGCTACAAGCCATATGGACTTACAAGTCACATTGACTTAAAGGCCAAAATAAAAAACCATAGCCAGACAGCCTCAATAACCCTCTCTTGTTCCAAGATAGTGGAGTGTTATATTCTCATCTACACCTGCATGATGATCAGACAGATTGAAAGTGCCTAAGTTTGTCAAATTTTTGCATGGACATAAATGGTCAAGGGGGATGCAAAAGAGTTTTAGGGTTTGGATTAGCAAAGTTTCTGCAGTTGAGTGTTTGGACTTTGCTAAATGCCACTGGAAATGTGTAAACAGTTATATAGTGGTGCATTTGTTTTCATCTGTCTCAAAGAGCTAAACATATCAACTTAAAAGACTATACTGATCTCTTTTGTCAGGTTAACTACATAAATGCGCATGCAACTTCAACTCTTGCTGGTGACCTTGCTGAGATAAATGCTATCAAGAAAGTATTCAAAAACACATCAGGAATCAAGATAAATGCGACCAAGGTTCATAATCTTCTTATTTTGATTGCAAATTATTGCCTTCTTCAGGATCAGAGCACACAAACAGAAGCATATAATGTTGATACTCTTCTTAAATTTTCCTTGCTAACATGTTTGGAATACATTGGCAGTCCATGATAGGACACTGCCTCGGTGCAGCTGGGGGTTTGGAAGCAATTGCCACTGTGAAGGCCATCACTACTGGATGGCTGCATCCAACAATAAACCAATTCGTATGTGCTACTTCATCTAAATCTTAATCTAGCTTTGGTTAATGGAACCAGCCTCCTTGATTGGATATTGTCCGTTGGTTGAGAGCCTGCTTTATTTATTTATTCTTTTTTGCAATTTTAGAATCCTGAACCATCAGTTGAGTTTGATACAGTCGCCAACGAAAAGCAGCGACATGAGGTGAACGTTGGTAAGTTATTAATCCTTTGAACTGCAAAATATGGTCATATTTTAGCTTCATTTGAAGTATAAAATCCCTAATACTAATTACATTTTTATTTCAGCCATTTCGAATTCATTTGGATTTGGCGGACACAACTCTGTGGTGGCATTTTCTGCATTTAAGCCTTGAACATTCACTCAAATCTATCAGCTTGTCTGCCATTCTTGCCGGAGATAACTTATGCTTTTTAGAGATTTGGTCAGCTAGAATGTGCTTCAACTTGTAACCTTTACTGAACTGCTGGTTGTTTATTTGATGGCAGTTGTAGCTGCTAGTCATGTAGTAATTTTGAGTTGAACCTCCAGCATAAGCTAAACTGTTCTTTGTCTCTTTTTAGCCATCGGACTTCTGTTCGGATAGGTGAAGTGGGGCTTGAAATTTTGGTTGCCTTTTTTGATCAATATAAGCTTCTACTGGCTTATCAAATTGCTGCAAAATATGTTAGTGTCTATCGGATGGTGTTGAGTTCTAAAAGTTCCAGCAACATGGCTTCCTGCCCTTTCCCTTGATTTTTATCATGTCTTGATTAGATTTGAATCAAAAGTCAGAGCTCCAAACTTTGAGGCTAAATGCTTCTGATCATCACTTACAGTGCGAGTATCCACTGGAACATTTATTTGGCTTTAAGCACCAGTGATTGTCTTGCTTCTGACAAATGAAATATTGAAGGATACAGAGAAACTATCATCAGCAACTTTCTAAGCTAAATTTGAAATTCCAAAAACTTTCTTTTGAATGTATAATCTTGGGGATTAAGTTTTGTAGAACACCATTCTAAATATTTGCAGGTTTAATGAATTAATTTTATGTTTTTGCTTCATGGTGTTTCAAGTTAGACTTTTACTTGTCCTCATGCAAATT